TAATACAGTTCTATGTGTGAACTACTTTTTTACTTATTACCACTTTGTTTATTACAGCAACCGTTTTGGAGAGATAAGGGAAAGAAGATCCTGCAAGTATAATATATAGGTAAAACGAGAGGGAAATGCGAAATCTGAGACTTTTCTTTTAGCAGTCATGAAGAAATTCGCTCCGACTAAACTCTTTCATTATTATTTGACAGTGTACTGAGAAATTGGGACGTAATGTTAATGGTATATACCGTATTATGTGTATATTATAACGATTCGCTTGATTCTCCAAAGACGCGAAATCAATTTCCGTCGTCAATCACGAATAACTCAACAACCAAGAATCCAATGCTCATGAAATTCATATACTTGTTAACGGTAACTGTTGCCAACGTGTGTGCAAAATATTGACGCAGGATATTAAGTACGATTCGAATATGCATAGGCGCCTGATTTGACTCTTCGAACGCGCGAAATCAATTTCCGTCGTCAATCACGAATAACTCAACAACCAAGAATCCAATGCTCATGAAATTCACATACTTGTTAACGGTAACTGTTGCCAACGTGTGTGCAAAAGATTGACGCAGGATATTAAGTACGATTCGAATATGCATAGATGCCTGATTTGACTCTTCGAACGCGCGAAATCAATTTCCGTCATCAGTTATTACTAAACCAACAACCAAGAATCCAATGCTCGCTTTAACGAATGTCCGTTTTAACGAAGATAGCTTTATAACGAAGCTTTTTTATGGAACCGATTCATTCATATATATAAAGATAGAAGTCCGCTTTTTTGGCGGAACGGAGACCTTCGTTAAAGCGGATTTCACTGTATATTTTCCGCCACTACTGTATTGACAAGACTTGATCATCAAACGCTCTGAGTAACCATTGTGACGGTATAATATCGTGGACTTGGCGTCGGTCCGAAAGTGTCGAACGTAAAGTCACAATCCTTTCCAAATAAATCAGCAATAGATCTTCGATCGGACATTGCCTTCCATTCGTTGAACTGGCTGTCACGAGACGCATTAATCGCACAGGTAACTTGCGTTCAAGGGCTTCAGGAATTTCGCAGACATTTCCCCCGTTTCTAAAAAGTCAAGTTAAAGATATTTCAGGAAAACACTCCAATGCCGGGCACCATGAATACCCAGCATAGATGAGATCAAGTATCGAGCCATTAAAATAGAACTGCACCGATGAAAACATCAGCATTATAAGCGAGCTATTTCTTTGACAAATTCATGGACCATGAAAGTGGCATGTCGCCACCTTCAACCCACATCAGAATCAAAATCGAAAACTCAAAAATAATCGTGCCTTTACGAATTTGATAGTAGCACCACCTCCCCGACCATATCTAACAGCTCACAATAAGTCGTATGTGAGCACTTGTTTCGATAGTCTACACCAAAGTTAACTGTCAGGAGTTCTCCCTTTCGATCACAAATTAAATGCACAGGTAGAGCTCTGTTTGGGCTTCAGGTTTTGAACTCGTTTGTAACAGAATCGAATTTCGAATTTGAGGAGGAACGGCTCTGCAAAGTTGCGTGAAACCCTGTGGAGTCTGAAAGTATATAGTCGTAAAATGTATTCCACCGACAGCCTTGATTCTTATTGTAGTATTAGACCGGCAAAGGTTACGAAATTCTCCGCATTGAACCAAGCATATTGTGAGATCCGCGGTCACAACGTTTAACCGTAGTAACTCGGAACAGGCGCTTGCAATTCAAAGCTGTTCGATATGTCCCAAATAGAGGATCACTACGATAAAAATAATAAACATCAGAAAAAGTCTTTCAATAAGAAGAGAAATTATAGACACAAACAATGTCAGTGGGGGTGCCATAGGCATCTTAATCATCGGCAATGTATGTCTAATATGACCGTCGTGATGAAGATATCATCATAAACTTAAGTTTGACGAAAAATACTAACGAAACATTACCTGCAATACAATATAATTGTCTTCCCAGTCATAATGATAGTTAATATTTCTGATATGTCGCATAGTTGTTGGTGATACGTCCATCACGGTCTTTAAAGACGGGTCCGCACCATAACATCGACGATCATTTCACAGACATAATATTTCACCGACAGGGTCATTTAGCTGACAATTATTTCTTTACCGACAGTCCCACTATCAGAAAGGATAATGTTGGTCGATGGAATAATTGTCGCCGAAATGACCTGTCCCTGTCGGTGAAATATTATGTCTGTAAAATGATCGTCGATGTTATGATTGCCTCCCTTTTAAAAAGGATAATGTTAGAGGAGAGAGTGAGGGTTTGCAAGAGTTGTCATGCATCATACACTTTGCCATATTAACCGTGATACCATCGTCCCGACAGACACGATCACACAACAATGTGCATCATTAGTATCGAGAGGCCTTTCACATTCAGTACTTCTCTGCGTATCCTATCTTCGTGTACAAATAATATTACATGCGTGATTCTGTTAGATATATTTTATAAACTTGGTATCGCTCGTTGTGTTGTTTACCTGCTGCATATACTTACACAAAGCAGACTTTTTTTTTATTCTCGAATTTTTCTCATTAAGATATGTATACATCTACCGAAATCGTAATATTTTAGACTATGTATTATGATGGAGGAAAGATAAGACATTCGAGGTTTAATAATTACCCAGGTACAGCAAGACAATTGGTAAGCACCAAAAGAAAACCCCTCATGGCAACTCTAGCGAGACACTCTCGTCTTCAGTGTTCATGTTCATATTGTCCACACTAAAATCAAAGCTTTCAATAATGGACCCTTCTTGCATTTTGCGCTGATCCTCGGACACAAACAGCGTACCTTCGTGTCCTTCGATAAAATGTGCTTGCTGATCAGGCTCTAATAAATTGATACCAAATTCCTTCAAAAACGATTCATCGAATAGTTTAACACAACTCTCTGAAGATTCTTCAACCGAATCCGGCACCGGAGTGACTCCTAACAGGGTTAGGAGATCGATATTTACCGATAAGTCACCATCGAGGATGGGGATATCTGTCCCGAAAGATGGCGAATTCGTATATTCCTTTGGTGTTATCGGTTGTAGAGACTCTGGCGAAGTAGTTGCTGTCATATCCGCTATTATATCGTTGGGTTGGGAATCGTCTATCACATTTATCGTCTCAACTTCACTACCATTCGTCTCTGAAGAATCTGTTGTTATCAAGTCTCCAAAATCTGAACTTCCAAAAGGATATGAGCACTAACAAAAGTGTATTGTGTGTTAGAGAAAATTCCATAATTTATGTGTGGTCAACGATCGCTAGTCTGTAAAAATTACTATAAACCAGTTACCTCTCTATTTTCGCACATGTAAAATCTGCGGTTGAAATCGATTGAGTAAAGACAAACAGCGGACGAACACAGCGGACAATTTCGTACCGAATCCATGACGAGAGCAAGCAAAGTGAATTTTATATCTTGCGAGAGTCTGTATGTTCGCTGCAAGAAACCAGACATCGAATATTAATTAGTACAGAAAAAAATTTTTTTTTAAAAAAACAAGCATGATAACGCAAGCTAAACTCTGATTGAGCCTGTTATTGTTACGCCATGCTCGTGATCTGAAAATTAGTCATACATAACCCACACCCCAGCACCCGTCTTACGTTTTTTTCGGGTTTCCTTTACAACTATGTCTCTTTTTATCGGCAGGTATAGATCAAGTCTGAAGAAGCCTTCACCGCTTTTCTATGCAATAGTAATATGAACTCACTATATACTATCAAACTGTTTCAATAGACTTGCAATCGACACTGACCGACGCGATCTCGAAGATATATTTGACAGATATGGTCGCATGACTCGGTTAGAGTTAAAGAGAGGCTATGCATTTATTCATTATCAGGACGAACGAGACGCAAAAGATGCGTTGAAGGACGCGGATGGCTTAGTAAGTATGCGGAGCTCGTCACAACACTCGGTTGTATGCCTGTCTTAACGACTTGCTGGAATCTCCCTAGCGAATACACGGTCATAGAATTATAGTCGAATGGGCGAAAAATGGAGGACGAAAACCAGGTTAGTGAGACATTACATTAACGCGCGGCGTTGTTTTTCAATACAATTTCATATGTGGTGACGAGTTTTTTGTTCACATGCCGTAATGGCAGGCGAGAATGAATGTTTCAAGTGTCGGAAAGAAGGTACCTTTCGTTGTTTGCCATTTGTGATTAGATTGATTTCGTTAGTTTGGGATATAATTAACTCACTCGGTTTTGACTG